GGTTTTAGAGCCACATCCTGGGGCTCAGGAGCCTCTGCCAGCTTAACCCAAATCTTTAGCTCTAATAACATTCTCATTGGAAGACATCAGGACTCCTGAGAGAAGTGGCTGACTACAGTGTGGACGCCTCAGAGACACAGCAGATAAAAGATGAGCCTGCCTTACACACCCAATCATGCCAAAAATGAAGTAAGCTCAAATAGGGGTGTGTCACCAGGCTTCAGCTTTGAAGAGCTCCCATTTGCCTGATCTGAGGCAACCTTAACATCAAAGCAACTCGATGTATTTATGAATATGATCCATTAAAAAATGGTAGGCCTTAAAAAAATGGTAGGCCACGAGTCCTTCCTAGTAATAAGTAAATTAATAAAAGAGAAAGGAGATACTGCTTTTGGCAGAATGCTGAATGACAAGTAACAAATGTGGAAGGAGGATAAAGTGGGACTGTCACCAGTTTGCAATTATCATAATGACTGAGTTGCACTCAAATCCTCAATGGATACTATATCTAAGGGCAATTTGAATTAGGAACTGTGTTTTTTGCATAGTCTTAAATTATCCTCTCAATTGCCTACTGACCGAAGAAGAAAAGCATATTAGCAGACAGGAAGGAATCAGACTTCACCTGGACTGTGTGATCAAAAATAATACCACCAGTGAACAATCACTGAACGCAGTTTGCCTGAAGATGCAATATTCCGAGAAGAACATAGTATCACTGAAAACACTGCTCAGAATGGTATGTCTTAGAAAACCATTAGGGCGGGTTGGCAAGGAGATATGGGGAATATAGTCTTCAAAAATGTTAGTATCATGGGGCCAGAGAGCATAGTGGGTATCGCACTTGCCTTGCACACATCCCACCCAGGTTTGATCTTTAGCACCTTTTATTTTCCCCAGATCTCTGCCAGTAGTGATCCCTGAGCAGAGACCCAGTTTCATATAAGGAAGAGAAAAGGTACCGAAATAGTTCAGATTAAAGAAAACTAAAGAGACAACTAAACATTATACCTAATCCTAATAGAGGGGATGCAGGAGGAAGTCATACAGGGAACTCCCATATCCTCTCTCAACTGAGAGCATCTTGATTTTTTTTTTTGCTAAAATAGATTCTAAAAATTAAACAGAAAAGCCATTCAGGAAGTTACTGTGTCAGTTTATAAAATTAGGATGTGGACATTTACTATTGTTAGAAACTATAAATTTACTGTAGTAAAAATCTATACTATGATTACATAAGTAAATATCCCTAAATACTGAAGTTTCCCATTAGAAAAGGTGTCATGATCTTGTTTGTTCATTGCAGCACTCTTTACAATAGCCAGAAACTGGAAGAAACCTGAATGCCCAAGAACAGATGACTGGTTAAAGAAACTTTGGTACATCTACACAGTGGAGTACTATGTAGCTGTTAGAAAAGATGAAGTCATGAAATTTACATACAAGTGGTACAACATGGAAAGTATCATGCTAAGCAAAATGAGTCAGAAAGAGAGGGATAGACATAGAAAGATTGCATTCATCTGGGGGATATAAAGTAACAAAATATGAGATTAATACCCAAGAATAACTGAGATCAGCACCAGGAGGATTATTCCATAGCTTAGTGGCCAGTCGGGCATTCTAGAGGGAAGGGCAGCTCAGATAGAGAAGGGAACACCAAATAAAGTGTGTTTGGAGGATCCTCCCAGGAGGGGAGATGCATGTCAAAAGTAGACTATGGACTGAACATGTTTGCCACTCAATGCCTCTTTTGCAGACCACAACACCCAAAAGGAGAGAGAGAACACAGGGGATTGCCCTGCCACAGAGGCAGGAGGGGATGGGGGGATGGGGGTGGGGGGATATTATCCATGGTGGTGGAAAATGGGCACTGGTGGAGGGATGGGTATCTGATCATTGTATAATCAAACCCAAGCACAAAAAATTGTCAATCTACAACTGTACCTCATGGTGTTTCAATAATAAAAAAAAAATTTTTTTTAAAGAAAAGGTGTCATGATATATGCAGTTTCCTCTCAAGACTCAGTAAAGAAGTGTTCCCTGTATAAAGGAGAGAGAGCACAATGATGACTCATGAGCTAGAATGTTCACAGCAGCTGGAGGAGGACAGAGGGTGTATGGTGTGCTTTCTACAGCGCTGCTTCTCAAAACTTTCTGATAAGTTGGAAATTATTTCCAAATGAGAGACTGAAAAACAAAATGGTTGTGATCATTAGTGATGACTGAATGTTCTGATCCTTGTAAGAGAGCTTAATAAAATCTAACAAAACCATTATATGTGGAAAGCCAGCCTGGGAAGACTTGGATTCACCTTTGAAAGTATAATGTCAACCTCAAAACACCGTCATTTTAAATAAGTTTGCTGGTTTTCTTGGTCTCTTCCTCTAATGCTGTTCTTTGAAATCCCATATAACTGTGCTCTAGGCAGCTAACGTACTTATGTAACCCCTCAGATTTTAGGTCTGTGCATCCATGGCAGAAATGGCAATAGACTGAGGTATATAGCCCACCCTCTAATACAGAAGTCTGATACCTTTTTTCTGGCAAGGATCATTTGGCTATTTATGACCTTATTCTCAGGCCATGCAATACAGTCAGACAGACCTTGGGCAGCTGCCAAGAAGCTTGTCCTGTCATAGACCAAGACCATACCTCAGTATTTCATGAGTCTTAGATGGCCCAGAGGACAGGCGTTCTCCACCTCTGATCTAAAGGATTGTGGAAAGAAGCACTGACCCAGGGTGTGCTCTCCAGGCTCATACTGGTTGGTTTTATAGAGCTTCGATGCCTGGAATGCAATAAATTAGGTGACTTGTCATCCCAGAGCTCTTGGGCTCAGTACTGATAGAGTATTTCGAGACTTTGACAATAGGATAAAAATAGAAAGCCTTAGAGCTAAGTCATGAACTGCCCTCCACACTCCATTGGTGATTAACCCAGGTTTTATTATCCAGAAAGACATGACATTCTTTGCAATAAATCAGAAAAGAGATACCTTTAATTCCATCTTCAAGACTGGGAATCCACTAGTCGAGAGATAGTTGAATCAGATATGTATATGTGTTCACATCTGAATGGCAACCAGCCTTATTTTTTATTCACTTTTCTTTGCTACCTAGTGTGCAAACAGTAAGATTTGTCCTCCTCTGGTAATTAAACTTTTTTTTCTTGAGTGAAAAACATATTCATTTAGAAAACTCTTCAATAGTTTTTCTTGTTTTTTCCCCTGGGATTCAGGGACGACCTGTATGAGATTTGTTACAGAGTCCTGGAAGAACTTTCAGACCAGGGACTCTCTGAGGAGCGCATCAGGAGGAACTGTCTCCTCTAGTCTTGGAACCATAGGCAGAAATAACGCAATGTGAGTAGGAAGCCGAGGAGAATGCTCTGCTAAAGGAGAGCTCTGTGAGGCCTTGGAGCAGCGAAGGGAAGTGGTAGAAGTCCTTTCACTTGCCAACTAAAATAGGAACAACCTAAACTAAAAGAGGCCTGAGAGGGTCCTTTGGGGCCCTGCTGGCCCAGACCAACCAATGTGGCTGTCTGTCTCTCCTCCCTCCTCTCAGCTTTAACATCCCTATCTTGGCTGAGGATGTAGGGACTTTTCTCAGTTTTAGGTTTGGGGCTTCTGCCAATTCCCAGCCTTCCTGAGAAAGTTCATAAGAGCTCTTCTAAAAGAATGGGTGGAAGAAGAGAGTTGCCCAGGCAAGGCCAGGCCACACGCCTGTTTGCCCAGCTGTGAAGTGAACATAGAGGATGACTGGCGATGTGGTGGGTTTGGGCACTGGGCTTTCCTCTAGGCTTCTCTGTCTTTGTTCTGCATTGAGAAACAACCATCTATGGTGGCTCCCTTTTTAAAAGGCAGAAATAGGGAAATGTCTTGAATCAAAAAGGATTAATAGATACAAATAGGCATACGGACATATCATTGATATACTGCTGAGAGTTCTTTTTCTATGCAGTGATGTTAGTTAAGCCTGTACCCCTTCTAGAAGCTTACACAAGAGCGTTAATAACTTCCCTTTCATTATGCTCACCTTTGAAATGCACTGATTGTCTTTCCTTAGTTTTTCTAGTTGCCTTTGGGGGAAAAAAATAGAGGCTAAAAAAATTAGATGCCTGAGGCTAAAACTGACAAGGAAGGAACTTTCTCTAAGTCAAACTCTCTAGTCTCAGAATTCAGTTTGCCTCCAGGAAGCTCATTTTCATCTCATTCTTGGGACTCCTCTTTAAAACTCATAAGCCCAGTTCCAGGATACGCAGCCTCAGTCTTGGTCTAAGCCTGCTTTTCATTCCTAACCTACAGTGGCACTCTTCATCTGCTCAGCCAAGTTCATAGGGATGTAACATACATTGATTGCCTCCAGGAATTGCTTAGTGATCTTTACATGCCTTGGTTTGATGGTTCTATGTTGTCTGTGAGTTCTGCTTGCAACTAGGAGTGTGTGTGTGTGTGTGTGTGTGCGCGCGCGCGCACGTGTGTGTGTGTGCATGTGTGTGTGTGTGTGTATCAACTGAGTGACTTGGGCAAAGTCTATGCAGCAAGTCATGAAACTGGTACATGAACCCATGAATCTTTTTACTTCAAAATTTACATAATTGCTTTTATGGCACTGTTCTATCCCTGCCTTTGATATAGGTAGATTTGTGTTAAATTTGGGGTTTGGGTTTGTTTGCTCACATAAAAGCCATTTAATAAGTGTGTGTTAATTAATGAATGACTATTTTATGGTGGTCTTGTGTTTTCGTTCGGTCCAATGTTGGGCCGGCTTCTGTGAGCTAACTGCTGACTTGTGGTCTTAGCAGAATTACAGAACTCATTACAGAGGACTGCCTCTGAATGATTATTCATTTATTTAATAGCAGTATCAGGCTAAATAAAGTCAAAAGTTTTTAGCCTTTCCTTCTAATACTACATTTTTTTTTATTTTCCAAATCTGTTAGCTAAAGTGAAGAATGATTGGGGTTTCTCATATCTGCCATGTTTCAATATTTTACAG